CTCAATCCAATAGAACATCTTTGGAGGGAGCTTAAACTCCGCGTTGCTCAACGACAGCCCCGAAACCTGACAGATCTAGAGGAGATCTGTGTGGAGGAGTGGGCCAAAATCCCTGTTGCAGTGTGTGCAAACCTGGTCAAGAACTACAGGAAACGTTTGACCTCTGTAATTGCAAACAAAGGTTTCTGTACCAAATATTAACACTGATTTTCTCAGGTGTTCAAATACTTATGTTCAGCAGTGCAAGACAAATAAATTCTTTAAAAATCATACAATGTGATTTCCTGATTTTTTTTTTTTTTGTAATTCTGTCTCTCAGAGTGGGAATGCACCTACAATGTGAATTTCAGACCCCTCCATGATTTCTAAGTGGAAGAACTTGCAAAATCACAGGGTGTTCAAATACTTCTGTTCCTCACTGTATCTTATTCCTTTGTGCCATAGAGCTCCATTGTTTCCAAAAACCACACTATGCTACACATATACACTATCCCTCTGCTACAAACACTCACTAGAGTGTTACAAAATGTGGATTCATCCACTGCTGAAAATAGTCCCCAGCAAGTGCACTATTTGTCATGAAACAACACAGGTGGAACAACAAATGGGCAAATATCATTGTAGACAAATTATACATTGAAGGACAGCTCTATCGCGACTCAAACATGACCCCAGGGCTTTTCTGATCTGCTACAGACTACCTACCAACCAGTGACTGCTGCATTATATGTTAAATAATTCACCCCCTTTTCATCACCCTGGTCTCTCACATCCACACACAGAGCAACCCCTATCCCACATGGACTGCTACAACTATCTCTTCTTTCTCTGTTATTCTGTTTGTGTCTTTGTTTTAATCACACCATGCTGAAATGTATACTTGTCTATTTTTTTTTTGTACTGCTATGCTCACACTCTAACACACATACATATATACACACATGCATCAACCCTAGATCCCGTTAAACAGCTTTTTTTGTTTGTTTTTATTTTTTTGTTCATTTTTTTATTTATTTTATTTATTTTCCCCCCCTTCTTCTCCCTTCCCACGTCTTCCCTCTTTTCATCTTACAAACACATATCTATAACAATCATTCAGTCTCTTAAAATAGTGTCATGGAATGTGTGTGGATTCAGGACCCAGGTTAAGAGGATTAAAATCATTAACCATCTGATAAAATTAAATGCTGATATATGCTTTTTACAAGAAACCCACCTAACAAATCCAGAATCACAAAACCTTAAATGCAAACAATTTAACCAAATATTGTCATCAACATATAACAGCAGGCAAAGAGGCGTCTCAATTTTAATTAATAAAAATATCCCATTAATTCATAATACATCTA